ATCCATCCATCGATCGATCTATCCATCCATCGATCGATCGATCGATCCATCCATCTATCGATCTATTCATCCATCCATCTATCCATCATCTATCCATCCATCTATCGATCTATTCATCCATCTATCTATCCATCCATCTATCGATCTATCGATCTATCCATCATCTATCCATCCATCTATCGATCTATCCATCCATCGATCGATCCATCCATCCATCTATCGATCCATCCATCTATCCATCTATCCATCATCTATCGATCCATCCATCTATCCATCTATCCATCATCTATCCATCCATCTATCGATCTATTCATCCATCTATCTATCCATCCATCTATCGATCTATCGATCTATCCATCCATCTATCCATCATCCATCCATCCATCTATCATCTATCCATCCATCCATCCATCATCCATCTATCGATCTATCCATCCATCCATCCATCATCCATCCATCCATCTATCGATCTATCCATCCATCCATCCATCATCCATCCATCCATCTATCGATCTATCCATCCATTCATCCATCTATCGATGTATCCATCCATCTATCTATCCATCTATCCATCCATCCATCTATCCATCCATCTATCTATCCATCCATCCATCCATCCATCTATCGATCCATCTATCCATCTATCCATCTATCCATCCATCTATCCATCCATCCATCCATCCATCTATCGATCCATCCATCCATCCATCTATCGATCTATTCATCCATCCATCTATCCATCCATCCATCCATCCATCTATCATCTATCCATCATCCATCCATCTATCGATCTATCCATCCATCATCCATCCATCCATCTATCGATCTATCATCTATCCATCATCCATCCATCCATCTATCATCTATCCATCATCCATCCATCCATCCATCTATCGATCTATCCATCCATCATCCATCCATCCATCTATCGATCTATCATCTATCCATCCATCCATCCATCCATCCATCTATCATCTATCCATCCATCCATCCATCCATCCATCTATCGATCTATCCATCCATCATCCATCCATCCATCTATCGATCTATCCATCCATCATCCATCATCCATCCATCCATCCATCATCCATCCATCCATCCATCCATCTATCGATCCATCTATCATCCATCCATCCATCCATCCATCCATCCATC